GGCTCCAAAGTTTTCTTGAGCATCCTTCTTGCAGTCTGTTTCTCTGCCTTTTTCTCTCTCACAGAGATACAAACGTTTAGAGATTAAAGACTTTGAGAAGGATTTAAATAATTAGTTTTTAGCCACCCCAAGAGTGAACATAAAAGAAACCACAAAAGAAAAAAAAATAGAAAATGAGAATTAAACACTCTTGTAATCCTTTGTCATCTATGTGTTGATTAAAGAAAATGTTAAACTGTATCAGCAGTTTAGGGTATCAGCAAAGCCTGCAGAGGATTTGTTGGTGAAATGAATGAAAGAAAAAACTAAAAAAACACAGCTAATTAAATTTTGCTTGCATCTTTACTGAATAAGAAATACAAAAGGAAATTTATCTTTGTTGTGGTTCTGATTTCCTCATCCTGTTCAAGTCTGCTCTTAGTTTAGAAGTATGCTGGTTTCTTCTTTCACATTTTCATTAAATGTTGCTGACTTCCTGGATATAAAGAAAGCCTTTGGACTGGCCATGAAAACAAGTATCTTTTGGAACAAAGCACTGGAGCGACTGGGATACCATGGACCAAATTCAGACCTTATGATGGATAGGGAAACATCTAAAGGCAGGATAAACCTATTGTACTAGTCAGAAAGTGATGCTGTGTGAGAGAGATGCTATGCCCAGAAAAATGAAATTTGCAGTCTCATTTTCACCTGTGTCCCTTCTCTTCTTATTCTCCCCTCAGCCTTTCAGACTTTTCCTCCTCCTGAGAGCCTACTTAGCTGTTCTATTTCTTTCTTTCTTTATCATTTCTACCCTTGCTTTGCTTCCATTCATCCACTTCTAAGCTCTCCTTGCATTTCTACCTGCTCTCTATCCTTCCTTACCTGTTCTGTCTCTTTGCTCTTCCTTCCACATGTGGTTTTAGCACCATTCTGGCCACCTCCCTCAGTTCCTCAGGGTGTCTCCATGATCCTATTTTGATTTTTCTTTTCTCTCTCTTCTGATAAATTTTTGCTTCTCTCTTTTTTTTTTTTTTTGGTTAGCCTTTTTTAAAGTACATGCTCTTTTTTTTTTGTTTTTTCTTCCTATCACTTCAGCCAGCACCTCTTCCTTTGTGTATTTTGCATTGCAAAATATTTCTTGAAACCTCTGTAAGGCAGTGATACAATTTGGGTTCCTGGGATAACAGCAAGCTACAGAAAAACCTTCCTTCCCTGATGCTGAGCATTCAGTACAAAGAACTATGCTGAGAAGTACAGCTCCTTTCTGCAGAGCACTGAAGAACTGATGTGTGCAGACACTGCTCCATCATATGGTGCTAAGCAGAAAGAGGAGTTAACTGGTTAATTAGAAAGAGGAATTAACTGGGAGTTAACTGTGCACATGCATCTACTGAGGAGTCATAGTATTTCTCAAATGTCCTGTAGCTGTGACTCACACTGACTCCCACTCAGCTGAAGCCTGATGTTCTCTCACTCTGAGCATGGATTTGATGGATTAAGAAGCAGGAAGTTAGAGATTGTCATTGATGACACAGGGCAGGAGTTTTCTGTTGATCACAGCCCACCAGGGTAAAAAAATCTGAGCTGTGGAGTAATATCCTGCACATTGCAGTATCTGTCACCATGCTTATTCTTGTGTTCTTTGTTCTGGGTCTTAAGCTGTGGATTTAGGAAGACTGATTGGGAAACTCCACACCAACAGAGCTAGAGGCACTCCTCGGGTAGTGGTCAAAGTGGGTTTTGGTTAATGCCAGCCTGTGAGTGAAATGGCTGGTAAAGGTAGAGATATGCTAGAATATTTTAGGTTTTGAGTATGTTTGCAATGAGTCCCATGGCAGGCTTGTTTTGCAAGCTTGAACAGTGCCCCTTATATTTCTGCATATAATACACACTGCTTCAACTGTTTTGCATAGATACAAACTAGTATAAATATCCTTACCCATACTGCAGTTTTCTTTGCTTTTCAGCATTCAGTGCTAAATCCAACCATTGATCAAGCCCCAGTCTCGTTTTTCTTTGCCCCACACAGGAATAGCAAGGCACTCAAAAAACTCAGATGAAGCATGAAAAACTGTTTGGAAACCTGACTTCTTTCAAACAAATGTGATTTTTTTGATTTTTAAAGTTGGTGGAAGAGCAAGAATGCTGGTACCTTTCACAATATCCAATTTCGTAAAAAATAAGTGTCCAAATGTCACTTTTCCATGTTGGCATTTCATGCCTGTTAGTAAAGAAGTTCCAACATAAAAATAACCACTAAACCAAAAAAATACTTTTAAAAGTGACATTTCATAGTAAACTTCAATCACACGAAATCAGTCAATTATGGTTTAGTGAAACAATATTTCTCACTGGAAGCTTCATTAACTACTTTTTTCTTTCTTTTTTTTTTTGTGACTTACTACTTAGAACAAATATAGGGTATTTCATGAATTCACTTCACATACTGAGTGGGCTTTATAAATCTTTATTAACTGTTATTAGTGGCTTAATAAAAAATTGTAGCTGTCCACTTACAATCCCATAGACTGTGCTGATCTTTTATGAGTGATTTTCTCCATAAAGTGCCCATTTAGCCAAGAACAGATCCCATGCCTGTGCAAAGAAGGATTCTGTATTTGATATGAAACAAGAAATCCCATGCATTGAATTGATGTTAATTAAAGAGAGTATCTAGGGAAAGGACGACTCAGTTGACTCTATTTTATGTGAAAGATAGTTCTTTGCACAGAATGGACTCCCAGTTCATTATCTTACCTTCCAAAAAACTTTGTGTACCACCCGTGCCATGAGTCAGAGGACAAAGTGTATGACCAAAAAGCGAAGGTGGATGTAGTAGAGGCAAAATACTGCATGCATTTCTATCATTAACTTAGATAAAAATAGATCTCTCTCCCTGTTATCCCCCTCATTGGATGTTCTAGGGAAACGTGTTGTTCTCAATGCTTTCCACATGAACTTTTGTTTAAAAAAAAAAACATATATTATTGATGCTTTTTAACCAAAGGGCATGTTTTCACTTATAAAACTTGAACTGAAAAAATTTAATTGGACAAAGAATACAGTTTGTATCAATAAATCACTACAATCATTCTAATGTTTTAGACATTAATAAACTTAGTTGGTTCCTATTTAATGTGAAAGTAATAACTCCAAAATTGCAACTATTTGCCATCCAAAAGGAAATAAAGGCAATAAACTTTTCACTTTCAGCACTAAAGACTCTTACTTAGAAACATTAGTTTCTATAGCTTAGCTATATAATACACCAGTGTAAATATTTAAAAGGGACAACTATATTATCTTTGCCAGCAAAGTTTTTTTAACCTCCATTAATCCATCATTTATTACTACTGTAAAATAAAAATATTAATTACATCTATCAAGTCTTGGAAACACTTAAATATCTTTAATGAATCAATCAGTATTTTTATTTTCCTTCCAGATTTTCAGGAATGCCTGCTTTCTCCACTGGCTTATGGTACTTATGAAGGGCAAAAGTGTGGTCTAAATAAAAAAGTACAGTGTATTCCTTTATTTTTATGCAGTGATTATTGTTAAAGTTTCTCTGTTTCAGTCTTTCAATATCTGAAATGACATTAGCAAGAAGAATTGTCATTTGGAGCACTCATCAAGGTCCCAGTTCTACAAAATTAGCACCTGAAAACTGCTAATTTGTTAGACTGGGAGAAGACTGGCAATTAAGTGATTTTGGTAAAAATTAAACTATGAAGTTGGCCTAAATGTAGGGACAGGAAAAAAATGAGAAAGCTTTCCAAAGGGTTGACAAAATATGGAGCATTTCTCACTGTGTGGCCTGTTGACTAATGGACATTGCAACAGGCTGGACAAGTCACTGAAACCATACACATTTTGTAAACTTTCTAGTCTTCTATTTACAACCTTATAAAAGTTCTAAACAAGTATGTTCAGCAGTAGATGGAACTAGAATACATATTGGTTAATGAGAAGCAGAATATAAGTTGTGTTAGCAGTAACAGGATTAAAATTTAAATTAAATTGTTGCACATGGAGCAGGATAAAAACTAGAATTAATTACTGTGTAAATAATAAACACTAGTGTGAGCCTAAGGGCCTGTTCACATGGATTCCTTTTTGGTATCAAGGCTGTTCCTAGTTACAAACAGAGCATTTACCTCAGTTTAAATATCCTGTGGACATATGGGAGATACAGGATGCCAAGGTGAATTTAGCAAGCTTTCAAGTATGATTCCTTTAGGGATCTGGACTCTACCTGACATTATGAGAAGTCAGTAATACTTATATTCAAGTGGTGTAATTGCTGGTAATTGACAGAAATCATGAAAGTGATGACACAGAATGTATACAAAGAGGAAACACCTCATGTTTCAGTTACTGTAGAGTTTTTAAATGACTCTATGTGATAGCAGTCTTTGGCAACCTAAACCACCTTTAGCATTTACTTGCACTTCAATAACTGTTTAAGGCTACTCAATTACATTGCTAGTCCAAATCTGCCTCCCCACACAACCTCTCAGTTTAAATGGGGTGCATTTCCAAACCATGGACACGGCAAAATATTTGGTAGGCTACGTTTATATTGTCTCCAAAGGGCGTAATTATGGAATTAGATGCTTCTTACAAAATGCTGCTATTAACCATACTGTGACCACCTAGCCAGGCATGGTGAATTCTGAGGGTTTGCTTCCCTCTCCTCATTGTTTCCAGCCAGGCTGAAAGCTGTCCTGCAGCTCATACTCACGTGGAGGGGAAAAGGTGCCATCTCTCTATGCTACATTGCACTTTGCTGAGAATAAACAAGAGACCAGGTTGGAGCTATATAGAGAATTTGAAGCAGCAATGGTATGACTAAGACATGAATGTTCTTAAAAGAGAACTCAATAAAGGCAAGGGAAGAAGATAGACACAATGTGAGGTCATGAGGTTTCTTGTAAACTCAGTGCAGTGGTGAAGTCACCACTGTGTGTATCTATTTCCAAACACGTCTCTCTGTGTTTTAAAAGAAGTCAACAGCGTAGTTTGATAACATATCAATCTTTAATCTATAAAGAAGATTGATTTCAAAGTTTAATATTGTAAAAGAATAACAAATACTTTTTAAAACAAAAATACAAGATAACACACAGTTGCCTTGTTTTCTCCTGTTGCCAGAGCTTAGAGTACACAATTTCTGGGATACAATTCCATTGCATACAGTGTTTCCTATCACTTCAGAATATGTTGCAATTGAAATGACACCTTTTGATTCACAAAAAAAAGCTTTTCCAGGTACAAGCTCAAGCAGGGTGCCATTATGAGTAGCTGGTCACATGTCAGAACCTACACATTATTTAAACAAACCATAATGAAATCACTGCTTGCTGCTACATTCCTGCCTTCTCATGTCAGCTCTTGGATGCCAGTAGTCCTTCTGCCACTGCATCCATCAACCCAGCTGCTTGTAACTCACAGCTGTTCAAGAGCAGAACATTTTTTCATTTGGGTCCCCTGTTTTAGATTCACATCCGGAAGTTCTTATTCCCCTCAGACTCACATATGAAAATAAAAAAAAAACATCGGGGAGAAAAAACGATGGAGAAAGTATGAAAGCTTTCAAGAAGTTTCTTCAGTTAGCAAAGAAAAGTTTTCAGGCAGGGGCAATATGAGTAGCCCCTCCTCTAGTGGGCCCCCAGGCAAGCCAAAGGGTTGATAAGAGTAGTCAGGTGTAAAAAGGGGGGAAAAGGCTTACCCTCCCCTGTCATGACAATAAGATTTACAATTCTGACCCATACAAACTCTGCTCCTGCTTTGCACTGACCATGGAAACATGCTTGCTTTTAGGCTCAGGCTGAACCAGACGGGAGTGACACTACAATCCACCTTACTCCTTTTTGGTTTGCTGTGTTAATAACCCAAGTGAAAGCAAACAGGAGAAAAATCCTACCAAAAGTTATAAAAAAAGGCACTTCAAAAATTGAAAAAAGGATACATTGTTCTATAAGCATCCCAAGTAGAATAACTGTTTTCTGTATCCATTAGTGGTTGTATTCTCATTGTATGATCTTTGGAAAGACTAATAATTACAATAGAAACAAAATGAAATAAAATATTGCCACCAATGAAAAATCTGTTCAGTAAAAAACTGCAAAACCAAGTAAACAGCAATTTACACAATTCTCTCAGTCCTGCAAACCTGAAATATTCAACACTGCTTGGACAAAATTGAGAATACAGTAGATTTTTCAGCATAACTCTACTTAAATGACAGTATTAAGAAAACTTAGGTATACTATTGAAACCAAAAATACATAGAATCAGGTTTCTATGCTACTGTTTGCTGAAAAGTTATTTTTTTAAAAAAGGGTTTAAATGCAAACTTTTACATCTCCAACATGTTTTACATATTTCAGACAAAAGAATACACATACATTGTATGTGATAATTTTTCAAAACTAGCCATTACTTTTTCACAGATTAAAAAAAAAAAAAAGTCTGTTTAAATATTTCATTTCTACAAAGTGAATTTACATTTTTAAGTACAAAGTGCAAATACTACAGTTGTTTTTATTGCCTTTTGGTGAGGAAATCTCCCACATGTCAAAGAGATCTGCCTTGGATTAGTAAGGTGTTCACCCTTGCTTCTTCGAAACTTGCTGAAAGGAAGTTGAGAAAATTTGCATTAATGACAATGTAATTATCATTAATTTTTCAATTAGTCCAGTATAAAATTCTACCTCTATTTTTCAGCAGTGCACATATGCCACTATCAGAAGAGAGTTCTGCATAAGTATATATAGGGAATAAAAAAATTCCTGCTCTGTACTCCTTCACCAGGTCTGTGAGCAAGGGTATGAGCCATATCTTGACTACTTACCTATGTCCCCTTTAAATCCATACCTGCCAAACACAGTTTTAGCAACTGCCTGGGCAAGTCCCTGGTTCAATATGCCTCCTATGGCATGTGATGTATAAGGATGCCCAAGTATCACCAACAATCTGTGCTTTCCTTACAAGCTCTTTGCTAGGCTGCAAAAGCCCCCCTAGGTCTCACTGACAGCGTGTGGGCACCTACGTGTGCGTTTGTTGGGCAGGGTGCGGCTGAGCAAGGCAAATAACCCGGCCACTCCTGTCAGAGCCATCCCCTATCTGACCTGTTTTAGACCAACCACAGCTTCATCTCAGTCCTCATGAATGAGTAGAGAGCTTTTGAGTGTGTGTCTCCTGAGTGGTGCAAATTTGATCAGGCCTTCTTAGATGGGTGGTTTCCTTTGAACAGCTTCTACTCTTTTCAGTAGCTTCCTTCCGAGCGAGAACTTCCGTGATGAAAACCACCTTCTGCATTTGCAGCCATGTACTGTTCAAGTAGGAAACTACCAACAGATGGTTTTCTTAGCCAGCCTTAATTTAAGGCTATCATTTGTCAGCAACAGCTCTTAAAATAATTGATGCTGATTCAGCAAAATTATTAGACAAAATTGAAAAACATAGATGTTCTAAGGACACTTTTATTACCAATTCCACAAGTCAGTATCAGATTACAAGAAAGGGGAGAGGGCTTGTCATGCTTCAAGTGTAATGCACGTGTGCCAGTAATTGCCATTATATAATTAAAATAACCCCTCTGAATGCTCTGGAGTCCTGACAGGGTAATTGTTTTCAGGCTGTCTTGTTTAAAGTGTATGTGATTTGTGGGGAAAACCTGAAAAATTAAGACCACAAACACTTGTTTAAACAAACAAACTTATCACGTTATTATAGCTGTGAGAATATTTTATATTCCATCAAAGGTATGTAGGAGGTCTCTGGTAAAAACCACAACCAATGTTGAGCTTGCCTTAGGAAGTGCAAACCTAACATCAAACAAAGCAGAGATTAAAAAAAGGGAACAAATGGACTAGCAACTTTGCAAGGAAGATTTCTCTTGCCTTGTGGGAAGATTCACCTGGGGCTCTAAAAAATTAATCTAGCTTTATGATAGATGGGAAAACATTTACCACAACTAGGTTTTTGGGGTATTTTTAGCCAAATTCCTATTTTCATAGGTGCAGCATTACCTGAGCTGTTCTTTTAATATAGGTACATGAATAATTTTTAAACCAGTTCATCATTTACTGGCGCTTTTGGGAGCATTAATAATTTAAATCCTCTAACTAATATGACAGTGAGGTAAGAATAGTGTGAAGATGACTTTTCTTTGCTAGACCATTTAAACTATTGGACTCACAAGCCCTCCTTCAAGACCATGCAAAAGCACTAGGAAGGTATGATAATATTGCCCAGAAAAATGTTCTTTAGAATAAATGGTTATAAAAATTATACCCCACTTTTTTAACCTGTTTTCCTGGCCTTTCACTTGAGTCCCTCCTTTTCAAAATTTACCTTTCCTTCATTTAAAAAAACTCTGCTTTTGTGCCTTTTGCACAAATGGCTTGAGTAGCTAAACTTCCATGGATGACATACACTGGTGCTATTTTGAAAAACAAGATCAAGTCTTTGCAGAAAATTGTTAAAAAAAAAAAAAAAATCACGGATTATGTTGTCAGAGTACTTGACATTTTATTTTCTCCATTCATTCTTCAATTTTAGTTTAAACATAGATTAGCAGACTGATGCAAATCCTAGTTCTTCAGCATCATTTTGCACAGCCAGAAAAGACATTTGAAAATGACAGCTCTTTTCATTGCACTAAGATTTTAAAAGCTGTTTAAAGCCATCATATAATAATGCAGTGGGGTTTGTGAAACATATAGATTTTCACAAGGCATGGGAAATGCACTGTTTTGTCCATTTCAATAAATGTCAGTTTGTGTCTATACTGTGACACAAAAGAAAATTGACAGAATTCAGCTAAAGTAAAAGTTAAATGAAGATGAAGCAGTGCACATTTAAAAGTGGGAATGCTGTCATTCAGGAATGTAGAAGACTCACAAGAGCTCAATTACACTCATCAAATTATCATATATGTCCTATATGTCAACTTACACTTTCATAGGAACTTCCACATGCAAGCCTAATTGCAAATTATGGACATTTACTCTGCACCTGTAATTGTCTGGTTTAGCTTTCCATACACAGAACTGAAGTAAAAATTTGCTAATTGGCATGTTGCTCTACATTTTTCTGGGAACTCTGAAGAATAGCAGATTAAAGCAATTTGAAACTGCAATGATGACTGCTAAAACCCCAAGAAATTCAGCCAGGAGAGGAAGAAATTGAGATCTTGGTCTCCTCAATACTCACCTGCCTGCTGGATGAAGTGCTCTCAGTGTTGGTTCTAGGGACTGCTAAAGGAAGGGAAAGAAAACATTGTAAATAAGGTTTGCAAGTTATCTTCAAGAAGCGAAGCCCTCATTCTGAAAAGATCTTTTATAGAGCAGGGAAAGGGCACAGATTTCAATAAATGAGATAAAATATTTCAGATCTTTCACTGACACATCTACTTTTTTTCTTTCCTCACTACAGGTATTGCTTATTTCAAGGAGTTAAATGGAAGTTGAACAGCATCTCTTGCCAGTTAGCATGTCAAATTTGCTTAGGAAATTGCATCTAGTCAAGGCTGAGGATTTCAAATTACTAAATCTTTAGTAGTAAATATAGTCTATTATCCCTGGCAGTAAAGAAGCATGGACAAGCAGATGAGCATGGAAAGCATTCACTTTGATTAAAGATCAAAGATCTATGGAAGATAGAAACAGTTTTACAAGCTACAGACATTGTTCACATTTAATCTGTAAAATGACAAGATTATCACTGTTTTTTTTTAAATTTCTTAGTCTCAAAGACAGTCCTCAAAAAAGGGGAAAATAAACCCTTAAAAAGCTAAATAACTTTTCTAACCCATTAATCTTCCCAAGCAAACTTGTGAGACTCAGGAGGAACTTGCTCTCTTGGTTTTCCATGTCAGTCTGTGAGTCAAACATGCTGTACTGGAACTAAGGGTAACAAAACTGGACCTTGAAAAATGCTACAGCTAGTACTCCCTTCAGAAAACATGCTTTAGAAATCTCTGGCTTTTATAATGCTTCTAATTATTCTCACACAAGATACCTGGCACTCACACAAAATTATACAGAGCCACTTCCTAGCTCAGCTCTCACACCTCAGGTGACAAGAGTCTCAGGTAATGAGACTTTCTTGTCCTAGAAATGTAACTCTAACTGCAGTGAAGTGGTAATTGCTTTCCTTTGTGCAAGTGAAAGGAGTATCAGAAAGGAAATTTTAATCATCAAAATAGAATAATGGTATTCAAACAAAAGTAATTTTTAGTGCCCTGCCCTTAAAGCTATGTACTTCTAGTAAAGCAACCTGATGATTTGGTTAAGAACTTTTTTCCATCTGGATGCCATTAGTTTCTCAATGCCAAACATCTGAGATTTTTTTTTTCCCCTTACAAACTTGAATTTTCTCATTATTGAATAGATTTTTTGGAGAAGATCTGTTACAAAACTTCAGCTATGGTGGACACAATTTTTACTTCAGACAAATCTGTGTGTGTGTATCCATCACATGATTTCATGCCTCTTACAATTTTCACTTCCAAAAAAGGCAGTTTATCCCAATCTTTGGGGCTTTTTCCACTGGAATATGAAGACAAAAAACCTGGAGTTTGCTTTCAGTCTTGATATGGCTTTCCTTTCCCTCCTGTGTAGTGATTTTGGGCCCAAATTTCGTCCTAAGAATGCCTGCTGCAGTAGGACAGAAGTGTTTCCCTTTCCACATTCGTAGCATAAAGATAACAACAGTCATCCGCCTTCAAATACATTTTTTGACCTTAATCATCTAAGTGAAAATTAGAAGGTATCATTATGAGGTCCAGAAAAAAATCCACAGGAAAATAATCCTAGATCTGATCAATACTTGTTTTGGAGATCTGTTACTGTGATCCATAGACAATCTACTTCATTAGTAAAATGCAGACCTCTTCCGTCTTTCTGCCATACTCCTTTTCCAGACTTCAATACAACCAATGAGACCCTTGTTCCACTGTCCTCACTTCATTTTAAGGTACCAGACAAAACAATTTAACTATATTCATTCTTCCACAACTTAAAGTATGGGGATCTACTGCTGCTCTTTAGAACTACTTTTTTAAAAAATTTTTATTCCCATTTTCAGGAATTGAAAAAGTGTGATTGAATTCTGCAGGGACTATTATGCTCTGTAATTAGTTGTTCCCCTTCCTACCAGTTTGGCAGCAAAGTAAGTGGCTGTGTATTAGCCATTATTCCACCTGTTTGGCAGATCACCACATTCCTCTCTGCATCTCTAAACCACATTTGAGAAATGAGAATTCATTAGAAAGCTCAACCATGTGCTTCCTTCCAGGAATCCAAGAAGAACAGGTGTTCTTTTGCTGTTCACTCAGAACACAGTTCTCTAATAACACTAAACTGTCTTTTTGATGACTGTTATTACATCTTCTTATGTTTCCTACCATAATACATTTAATGGTCAGAATCAACGGGAAGTTTTTGATTCTGTCAGAGCAAAGTGATCCAGAAGCAACTTTCTTGCCATCTGCACTAAGCAGCAGCTGCATTAGCTGCAGGCAGGTGTATTCTTTTATTTTGTATAACTCTGGCACATATAAATATCAGACTTCATAAGCTTTGAAGAATTTAGTGAAAATGACAGAGAGAAAAGGTTCTTACTATGGCGTTTCTTTGTTTCTGCTTTACCTTCTTCTTTTGTTACTCCCAAGCAGCCCATTAATTCCTGAACCGACAAGGACTTATCGTTGTTCACATCACAGTATTCCACAAACTTCTTCACACATTTTTTAGGCTTTGATTTCTTTCTCAGAAATCTCTTAAATGGCTTGATTTCCTTCTTGCCAATATCACCACTGGAATTTTTATCTAGCTGCTTGAAATACCAATGGACAACTCTCTCTTCCAAAGTATGATTTGGATCAGGCTCAGAAACACTGGAACAAGAAAAAAATAGAATTTAGTCTTAATTCTTAATTTTGATATTTAATATCTTAATACCTTTATTTTAGAATAGTTACATCACCATCAGATCCCCATCACTATTGTAAAACTCCCTGCTTTTGGACACTAACTTCTTTGTAGTGAAGCTCTCTTTTTTTTTTCACTTTGGCCAACAATATCCTAAATTTTACACTAAGGGCTAGAATCTGCTTTTAGTGTACTCTCTGAAACCCTGTTGAGCTTAGCAATACTCAGCAAACAGCGCTTTCCCCTTAAATTTCCTCAAACAGAGCAAAGTGGAAAGAGAAATAAAAGAGAAAAAGACTGCTTCATGGTCAGCAGATGCATTAAATGTGTAAAGTAACCAACTGAAGTTGATCAACAATCAGCATCACCAAATACGGAAGCTCCAATTACAACCCATGATGGATTCTCTTAGAGCTACAACACCTACATATATTGAATTACAGGATAAGCTATGAAGATAAATGCTATCTCCTCAGATAAGTACCTGACCTGCAGATGCCCCAAGCATTTGACAGCATTTGACAGCACTTACACATTTTTAACACTGCCTGTGACTGCTGATAGAGTTGGTTTGTTTTGCAAGCAACCAGGAAGAATATGAATCAGGAAGGTATCACACATTTAAGAAATAAAGCCTAGAGAGGAGGACAAAGACTGACACAGCAGTTGACACAAAGACTGTTGCACCAGCAGCTACAGATAAACCCCGGGCTGTGCTGCTGAGAATTCATCTGTCAAGTCTATCTCTATGTTGGTGAACATAGTCCACAGTGGTAACTTTGAAGTGAACTGTCCTAGATAGGCTCTTGGAAATTCACCCTTTATGAGGGCTCCTCAAAGCCCTCAGCAATCTGTTCACCCCAGTCAGAATCGTTTTAAAGACACAAAAAGGATCTGAAACCCACCGGCTAGAAGACAGTGATGGATCAGAGACTGCGTGCACCATATCTGTGGACAGTGCATCCAAAACACTCGTCAGGAACTCATTCTTCTTGGCACCAGGACAACCTAGAAAATCAGATTTTTTAATTTTTTCTTTTCTTTTCTTGTTACTTGTTTTTACAACATTTATATTCCAACAATAGTTTAGACTTTGAGATAGATATTACCCCCTGTACACAAATTTCCATAAATTGTGGACATTTTCATAACATAATTCAAAGACAAGTATTTAAATTCAGGTACATATCTGTAACAGAGCAGGAGTAAATTAACAACCCTTTGAACTGAAGCAAGTGTGAATCTGTTTTGCCTATCTTGAATCTCTTTATTTAATTTTTGGCCATTATTTCTCCTTCTTTCAGGTGTCTTTAACATGGGTGTCACATTATGAAAATAACAGCTTTGAAGCAATGAAAGTTTGTACATGACACATGACAGAAACATGGACTAGAAGTTGACAATACTTATTTCAGATTTCCACTTTTACTCCTCTTATTTTCCATTGGCTTTCTTGACACACTTGCTTTCAGTGCATTGGTTTTCCTTTCTGTAAAATGACAGTCAACTCCTTGTGTCCTTCCCTTTCCTTTTGGACAGGGGTTAACTAGCACTACATGGCACCTAGCCCTATCAGCTGCTGTTTGCTGGTACTTTGGTTCATGCTGTGAGATCCTGTGGTGATGCTAGATCCTCCTCATAATCACATTCTCTATGCTGCGAGGTTCTTCTCTGAAAGAAACTGACAGCATGTTTCAGACACAATATGTCAAATAAATATATACTAAAAGATCTCCTCTTCAGGCGGCACAGCTGGAGAGATAAACTCCTCTGACAAGCACATGGATGTCAACACATGGAGGTTTGCTTATACAATGCACCTGCTTCCTCTCCTCTTCCATGGAGCCAAACACCAGGTCTTCCTCTAACCCTCTAAATGGCTGAGTTAAAGTATAGGATGATACATAATCAGTGACATGGAAATTACAAGCTTGAAGCTAGAGCCCACAGCAGGACTTTCACAGACAATTCTGTGCTGGAAGCCACTTACTATAGTTCTGTTTTAAAGTGAAAAAGGGAAATACTTTGAAGTGTTGTGGAAAAGGAAGATTAGTCGGTCAGTAGGGATTTGGTATTTTATTACATTTCTCAGCAACCTCTGGAGCAGGCAGTAGGACTAGATGAGCCCGAAAAGCTTCATCTTGCCCAGAAAATTATTTTTTAATACATCCCATGTTGAGCCAAGGAAATAAACCTGTGTTATATTAGCCCTTAGTTGTGTTGCAGTAAGAATAGCTCAGCTATTATGTACAGCAGGAGTACCCACTAGATATTGCTCTCTAACACATTCATGCAGTTATGAGTTCCTTGCCTTTGGCACCAGGGATATTTTATTCCAGTAACTGTAAAATGTATATAAAAGGAATTCACTGAGGCAAGTTTCACTGCACTACAAGTACACATATGAAAGCACTTGTCACTCTGTTAGATATGTCCCCTTCTCCTCAGTCTAATCAGTTATAGGTTTTTCCCTGTCACAGTTAGAAAAAAAGAGAAAAAAGAAATTAAGAAACACCCCCAAAAACCAAAACCAAACAATCCAGCAGCTATAAGTTTGACTATAAGTTTGACTTCAGTGAGGCAAGCACTTCAATTTTCCCTGTAAGGAACAAAAGCTAGAAGGGCAGCAAGATATTAATAAGGGATGGACAGAAAACTGTGCCAACAGGTTCCATTCAGTGCCTATTCTCTAGTGCCAAGATTTTGCTGTCAAATTAGGTTCAGGCATTCCATCCATGAAAGTAAACTCTGCATTGTGATTTAAATGAGATCACATAACTTTGCAAGCCACAAAAGCACATTTGTCCAGAGATGAGCAGGCAGAGGCCAGGCAGTTCCCATGCAGCAGGCACATCCAGCTGTGCCAGCGTGCCAACACCTATGAATCAAGAAACTCAGTAGTCCCTGAGCAACCTACTGAGCTCAGTGCTACCTCCTGCTAGCAAGGACAGCACTGTGGCCAGAGATGGTTCCCTTCAAAAGGATGGGTGAAAAGTCTGTCTGAATAAGACCTCAGCACGATACAATGAAGCACAACATGGAGCAAAGGCAGTTTGACTTTTTTCCTATCTCTTTTTTATGTCCTTTTTTTGGATAGTTAGTAATGTGAATATCCAATTTGATTTAGGAATTCCACCTGAATTTTTCATGTTATTTATGAGTGTATTTCTGGAACATCTGGAAGAAACAAAAATCTGCTTTAGGTAGTTTCCACTGTTGTCCAGGGACATACAGCTGGGTGTACATATGCTACAGATATAGAGATCAAAATCCCCACTTAGCTTGCCATTTATGATATACAGCTAAGCAGGGGAAAGTATCAACTTCTAAATTCACAAGAAATCACTGGAAGAAAATTCCACAGTTTAAAGCCTGTCTCTGACAATTTTCCCTAAGAATAAGAAAGGTTTCTAAATATGTATTTCATAAAGTTGCAATAGCAGCTGACTGCAATAGAAATCTCATAGAAAAGAAAAAACTGCTCTTAAAACAAACACAATCGGTGGTTGTGAAACATTCTAAATTATAACTCTACTTCTTAATGTAAAATGACACCCCACAAAATCCTCATCAGTTAAATACAGAGAAAATATTCAGGTCCTCCCAATTATAAGTTTTGCTGACATGTGGGCAATCCCACAGCAATTTACCTTACAGTGAAATCTCTGTTCTTTGCAGGTGTTACTAACTCAGAGTAATTCTCTGGAGACTTCATGCTGAACTTTCATTTTCAACAAACTTGTGGATAAACTGGCAAGACTGGAGGAGCTTTAGCTTGATTGTAATGAATAATTCACTCTTATTGGGCTAAATACAGAAAGGGAAAGACTAGTCTCTTATGGGAGCCTTGTGCTTCTTGCTATGGTTTATAGGCTTCAGTTTCTTCTTCTTCTGCAGCTGCCTGTCCTATGTGGATTTGACAGCTAACATAAATAGTAATTTGTTGTTAAAGGGTGGAAGCTGAAACCACACAGAGTTTACATACAGGTTCAGAATGTAGACTGAAGGGTTTGCTTTAGGGATAATGTTACCCTGAGTAAACCTTAGACCAACAAATACATACAACAAATGACAGGAATACACAAACACCTCGTTTCAGCTATAATATAAAGGAAATCAGAGAATCATCATTATGCATTGGATCTCTCATATATACACATCTCTATAAACATATAACTACTACTAGTTTTCAGTGCTAACTACTTTTAGCACTGAAAATGGATTTTGGAAGTTAAATCTGTGGGGTGGTTTCCCATAAACATTCTAAAATATGCACCCTGATGCCTTGGAGCTCCCTGCTTGGTTGATAATAATCTCCTACTGTCAGTCTTGGAAGATTATCTTTTACAACATATCTGAAGTCATGGCTAAAAGACCATTTTGTTAATTTCTGTAAAAATCGGAATCCAATAGATAAGATTAAACACCTTAAAAGAGATTTTACATTAATCTTCCTGCAAGAGAGAAAACTGTCTTGAGTCAGTCACTCAAGTTATTAAAGGCATGACAACTTCCAATTAGCAAACATAAAGTTTCTTCTTTATTCCCTGTTTGCTAATATAAACATAAAGCTTAGAAGTGCACTCAAATACAATGACAACTGAAATAACTCTAAAGACTGTGAGCAAGTTTTTGATCTGCCAAAAAACACAATGATCAGAACCATTCATGCTTCATTTTTATCTTTGATTTCACTGAAAAAGTGTTATACAGAAGAAAAGAATTTAACAAAATTTTTCAGTGCTATTGGTTATCCTGGGAGAACAGACAATGCAACAAAAACATTTTTTCTTGGACATTTAATCTATACACACAATTATGTACAGTGATGAGATTATTTCTGTTGATCCATGTGAACTACAATTTTGTGTTTGTCTAGACATTCTGAGGGGCCTCCTCATTTTTTGGAGGACTTCCTGAGCTCTTCCTGACCCCCTTTCAAAAAAGAAAGAAAGAAAGAAAGAAAAGAAAGAAAGAAAAGAAAGAAAGAAAAGAAAGAAAGAAAAGAAAGAAAGAAAAGAAAGAAAAGAAAAGAAAGAAAAGAAAGAAAAGAAAGAAAAGAAAGAAAAGAAAGAAAAGAAAGAAAAGAAAGAAAAGAAAGAAAAGAAAGAAAGAAAGAAAAGAAAGAAAAGAAAGAAAGAAAGAAAGAAAGAAAGAAAGAAAGAAAGAAAGAAAGAAAGAAAGAAAGAAAGAAAGAAAGAAAGAAAGAATTTTTTTTTTCTCTTAAACATTCATACAGTTTAAAATAATTAAATTAAGCTCAGAGACAAATTCTCTTTCATATGTCCTTACCCAAATTTCAAAAATAAGTAAATAGAATACAATGGATATTAGCTGTAGAGGGGCTACTGATCCATTGATTTCTAGCCCCAGATCTCCATGTCTTGCAGGAAAGGGGTATTATTTCTCGACAAGTGCAGGAAGCAGATTTCAGTTCTTAACAAGTATGTAATTTTATTTTTGTTACTATTTTAAATTTATCTTTCTGTTCTAATTTTAGGGGACATAGAGAGTTAACATAGGATGTTGTCCCAAGGCCCTACCTTTCAACCCTAGGCATTCATATCATACCAAAGTTCATTGAGGAGGATTTGTTGAACTTGAGCCTGCTGAAATGAGGTGTCTCACCCATAATAGTTATTTAAGCTCAGTATAAAGGAACCCATTCAGAAGGCATTCATCCCAACTACCTGAGGGTTTTTCTTCCTTTAGAATAGAAGAGGATCTCCCTTCAAATGTTTCACTTCTTCCCTATTAACTGAGGAAGCCCAGACAGAGGACTTTGTATTCACAGGTGGTGTTAAACAGCTTGTGATTAATTCTATATGTATCTGTTTTATAAATGGATTTAGGCTCAAACTACTCTCCTATTCTTTGGTAAATGTGGAAGAAAGAAGGGATAATACTCATAGCAGAAACACAAGATCCTATAATCAGCTTTTGCAGGCAACTGAGTGACAAAGATTAGGGCATTTGTTGATAGGAAAAACAGTCCATTACATTTATTT